ATATTAGCATATTTATATATTAGTCTATCTTATAAATATATAAAATATATATGATTATTTGTATATTAAACAAAATAACTTAAAAGCACAAAACAAGTACTCCTAAGAATTGACTACATCATGCAGCTCCTTTTGCACAGTGTCTGGTTAGCAGGGCTGGTAAGGTAGCTCAGTGGGTAGAGGTAACTACCACCAAGCATGATGACCTGATGGCTCAGTGGGTAGAGGCATCGGCGCCAAGCCTGACAACCTGAGTGTGATCCCAGGGACCTCATGGTGGAGGGAGAAAATGACTCTTGCAAGTTACCACTGATTTCCATATACATGCTGTGGCATGCCTTTACCCCATGCCTCCCCACAAATAAACACATAAATAAATGTAACCTAAAAATAAAAAAAGAATATGGACTCTCTGGCTAGGAATGTAGTCTCAAACTTTAAATTGCTGAGAGCTACAAATCAAATGCTGTGTCATATGGCTCAAGTAGTCCTGGGCTCTGAAGCTGGCTTAGCAGCCTGGATCAGCAGTCACATTAGGTGAACAGGGACTGAGGCTAAGTTTTTTGTCAATAAAACAGAGTTGAATCATTCACCATGCAAAAAGTTTTATAAGTCTGAGATAATTCTTTACTTCACAAGTCCTTGTCAATCCAGACTCCCGAACAACAAGGTTCTGTAGACCTGCTCATCACTAACAGAGCAATGGTGTTACTGGGAGGTAACACCACAAGTGGTTAGAATCATCTTCATAAGCCTATAGGTTTTTCAAATCCTTATTAATTTTTTGATATACTTTAAGATATGATTCCTGGACAAGGTGGGTTTACCACTGATCCTGGATTTTCATAGCAGTGATCTCCATGGGTGAACTGTTCAGTACCACAGCACACTCTCAACTTAATTTGTAATTTTTACACTGCCAAGATATTATAAAAATCAAGTCTGCTGTGAGAGACTTGGCTAAAGTACAAAATCAGACACAGATATGTTAATGTTTTTGTGAAAATTATTCTATAACAAGTGCACTGTACAAATACCTCTTGAAATCCAGCTTGATGCCCTTGCTGCTCTTCGTGACCTCAGCCAGCCACTCCTGTAGACTGTTATCGCTGTTCGTCTCAGGGGGATGGGCCATGATTGGCTGGCCATGCTCTGAACCGTCACTTGGAAGAAGGACATCGGCCTCTATCATGTGGGCAGCACCTGTCCAGGTGAAAAAAATTTAGTTTAATGCTCATAAGAAAAGGGCAGAGTTGCAGGAGAGCCCATGTCAGTACCCTTCTGAGAGAGAAAGAGAATCTAACAATTACTGAGTAACTACTGCATGCCAGACATTGTACGAGGCCCTTATACCATATAGTTCTTATCACTGTCTACTTACAAATCTTTTCCAGTGGCTAGCAAAGCCTTCATTAAAGTTTGCTAGGAATGTGTCTCTTAAAGGTAGACCACTTGCCTAGTAGTATAATCTAGATTCTGGGTGCTATCTCTAGTAACATACACACACACACACACACACACACACACACACACACACACACAAATAATATATCTTGATATTCCAATTAGAATCCATAGATATTTAATGTATATGTCTGAAAGTCTGTATTAAAGATTATTTTCTTTGATTTAAAGCTTAGCTACTGTCTAATGGCATACATCCTTTTTGTTTTGTGAGACGGGGCATAGCCATATGTCACAGGCTTGCCTCTAACTTAGTCTTCCTGCCTCAGCCTCCTTAGTACTGGGATTATAGGCATCACACCACACTCTGATCTGGATAGTCGGCTACAAAGCAACAGATAAGTAGAAACAAACATCTGGAAGTGGATTGTTGTCATAACAGAAACCTGAAGTAGTACTGGCTTTGGGCCCTGATGAAAAAGGTAAAGAAGGAACTGCTGACGGACGTGGATAAAACAGCGGTTGGGGTCGGGGCTGGAGAGATGGCTCAGCAGTTTAGAGCACTTGGTTCTCTTCCAGAGGACCTGAGTTTGGTTCCCAGTATCCACATCAGGCTGCTCACAACCACCTGTAACCCCAGCTCCGGGGGATCCAAAGCCCTCTTCTAGCATCTACAGGTATCCACACATATGTGACATATACACATACACATGAATTAAAAAAAATTAAAAGTGGTATGTAAATTATTTGTAACTTGGCATCAGACATCTGTTTAAAAATTTTTTACATATACTTAATTTTGTGTATGTATGTGGATCTGTGTGTGCATGTATGTGTGCCTGTGTATACATGCCACAGTGTGCATGTGGTGATTAGAGGACAATGTGCATGAGCTGGTACTCTGTCACCATGTGCATCCTGGGAATTGAACTTAGGTCCACCAAGCACCTTCACTGATCCATCTTGCTACCCCATATGTTTTTTAGAGTAGTTAAATTTTGGCAACACTGTCATTTGATGTACTAGTAAAAGACAGGGAGGACACCTAATAAATTTGTGGAGCTGGTGCAGGTGGTTTGCTGGGGAAATGTTCAAAGTGCCAATTGGCTTCTTTTAACTGCCTATGACAATATTGAGAAGAGAATAAGCCAAACAATTAACTGTTCTGCTTTTCAGTAGCATATTTAGGAAATATTTCCAACCTAGACTAAATCACCTCTCGAAGGCCCCATCTTCCCAATACAGTTCCACTGGCAATTTGATTTGAGCACGAATTTTGGAAGAGAAAAACTTTCAAATCATATTGCCACAATAAAATATGATTTTAGTGCCAACATTAAGCAAAAGGTGCAGTTACAAGAGCCTTTGTTAAAACCTCAGAAGAATGGTACCTCCTGAACCCACAGGACTAGATGAAAAGAGTTCTAGAATACTAAGGGTGTGTCTATAGCAACCTAACTTGCAGACCAACACAGAGTGAGGGCCACCTCAAAATGTTTTCAGTGTGCGGCCTTTGATGAAAGGAGTGGTTTATAATTTGTATGTAAAACACCCACCTTTGTTGGCGATATACACATCTGGGCCAAATGGAAGGCGATAGTTCAAAATGAACAGAGGTTTGTGGGTTTCCAACTGTCACAGGCAGGTGGCATTGATTATAAATGTAAACCACATTCACCTTTTTTAAAATGTTCATTATGGATTTTATTTATTTACTGTGTGGGGGTTCACATGTGTGGAGGTTCAAGGACAACTTGCAGAAGTCAGTTCTGTCCTTTTACCATGTAGGTCTTAAAGGTGGACTAGAGGTCATCAGGCTTGGTGGCAAGTGCCTTTATTTGCTGAGTCATCTCCCCAACCCATCAGGGGCATTCGTTTTTAGGGGACATAAATGTAAGTCACAGTAACAAACCAACTCATACACACTGGGGTAGCTATGTGGCAAGTGCTGGCAAAGATGTGGAGAAATTAGAATCTTATTCCTTACTAGTAGTGGGACTATAAAAAAGTACCATTTTGGAAATGCTGGAAGTTCCATGAAATGCTCTTAAAAGTGAACCACAAATCAGCAATCTTATTCTTGCCACATAATACAAAAGAATTGACAACAGACACAAAAACACTTGTACTTGAAAGTTGATGGTGTACAGATAGAAGGATGAAAGCAAAAGCAAAATTCTCACACTAACCATCAGGCCAGGTCCACTCAGAACCTGACTCAGTAACCACGATGTCTTGCATAGACATCTGGAGCCCTTGAGACCCATGGTACCGTCCACAAATCGCCAGTATTGAGATAAACAACTTAGACTGTAAAATTTGCTGCTTAACAAGATAGTGAGGATTCGACTGTGTCATTGGATATGGGTCTGCAAAGGAGACCCACAGTGAGAAGACCAATCAACTGCCCCCTTTACTCTCAAAAGGACCATCTCTCTGGAGGTCCATGCCCTCTTTGAGAATCTGCCTACTTCTTTCTTCAAGCCACAGGAGGCTACAAATGAGGAAAACCCACAAGAGCTCTGCTGGGTTTTGATTTGGGGTTCAGGAGACATTTTTTATTATTTGTTTTGTTTTGAGGAAGTGGCAAGTGAGCTGATATCAAAGGTTGTGTGGGCACACAGCCTGGCCTGGACACAGCTCTGTAATTCCTGCTTCTCAGGAGGCTGAGGCAGGAGGATTCTGAGTTCAACCAAGGCCTGCCTGGACTCCAGAGGAAGTTTAATAAAACGGAAAAAAAGAGTATTGGAATGTAGCTCAGTGGTAGGCTTGCCTAGAATGCGTAAGGGCCCAGGGCCAGTCATCAGTACTGCAAAGATAGCATTTCAGGAAAGAAAGTGGCCAGTGTGAGGCAGGAACTCACTCAGTCATGAGGAGCTCTAAGGCCAAAGAAGCTGTCTTATCAGGGCTTTCCATGATTGGGATGGTTTGAAGGCTCCAATAAACAGTACCAGTTCTCTATGTGGGCTCTGAGAAATAAAGCAGGCAAATTAGCAGATGGGGCTCAAACGATTACTTGTATTACCTGTGAAGCTAGTCAGAAGGTGCCACTGAATAGGGAGTGAAATCAGCCTGCCAATTTCTAGCTGCTGTCATCAGCACCTGATCCAAATTCTGGAACCAAAGACAAGTTCCAGAGAATATACCCAGAAGTCTGCTTCCTACTCTCCAGAGCACAGTGCCCACCCTCAACCACAGCCTCTGGCAGACTTGCTCCTAATCCAGCACACTCACAATTCAAGACATTTTGCTTGGGTTTAAAACAAGTACTGAGCCCATCTACTACCCAGAGTAAACTGAAGTAGCCAGGTGTGGAGGCTAGCACCTGCAACCCAGTGCTTGGGAGGCTGGGGCAGACAGATCACTAGTTGGAGGCTAGCCTGGGATACACAGCAAAGAATGATTTAAAAAAATAAAATGAATAACTCAGTGTGTGGTGGCATGCACCTTTAATCCCAGCCCTCAGGAGGCCGAGGCAGGCAGGTCTCTGTGAGATCGAGGCCAGCCTGGCCAGCTAGGACTAGGGAGGCCCTGTCAAAACAACAAGAACATCGAAAATAAATAAATAAATAAATAAATAAATAAATAGAAAGAAAGAAAGAAAGAAAGAAAGAAAGAAAGAAAGAAAGAAAGAAAGAACGAACGAACGAACTTACTTCTCAGTGCCTCCTGCATTTGAGCCTTGTGGTTAGCTGCATGATACCAGGTAATTTCAGCGCCATCTTCCGTTGCAATCTGGTTATTTCTTAGAAAATATGCCAATATATTTTCACTCCAGGACCCTAAAATAAGCGTTTACAGGAAAAAGTATCTTGTTTTTGATGGGGTAAACTTTTTCTAAATAAGTGATTATGTATATTTAAGGTAGATAATATAGTGTGAGACACACATTATAGTAGAAAAAGGTTATGATAATGAGGCAAATTAACACAGCCAACACCTCACAGGGGCCATTTTGAAGGATTTTTTGGTGGGGGGTGTGTGGCTAGAGCAGCTAAAATCTCATGGGTGTAAGTCCCACAAACAGCACAATTTCACGCCCATGGTCCTTGTGGTGTACATTTGACCTCCAGACTGGTTCATCCTACACATCTGCTCTTTATCTCTGACCTACACCCCCCTCCAGCAATTACCAGTGCTGTGTTCTCTATTTCCATGTAACTGACTTTTTTTCATACTCACATATAAATGAGATCACACAACACATTTTCTTTCTGCAGCCGGCTTATTTCACTTTGCACACTGTCTTCCAGGCCATGCACGCGGCTACTAGCAAGGGCTTTGTTAAAGCTGAGCAATATTCCACTGAGTGTGTGTACACCACATCATCTTTAGCTGTGAGCGTGTCACTGCACACCAGGGTGGTTGCCTGCCTTGGCTGTATGAATAATGCTCACAGAGATGCCATTACAAAGTGGTGATCTCTTCCCCTTTGGGTATATGACCAAAGGAGGGGTTGCAGGGATACAGGGCAAAATAAAGTTTTTATATTGTCCTAGTTTGTTTCTCCATTGCTGTGACAAAACACTTTGACCAATACCAACTTGAGGAGGAAAGGGTTTATTCAGCTTACAACTCCTGGGTCACAGTTCATCAGGGAGCTCAAGGTAGGAAATCAGGGCAGGACTCTGGAGGCAGGAGCTGAAGCACAGGCCATGGAGGAACGCTGCTTACTGGCTTGCTCACCTGGCCCCTGCTCAGCCTGCTTTCTTATGCAACACAGGCCCACCTGCCCAGGGGTGGCATTGTTCACAGTGGGCTGGGCCCTCCCATATCACTCAATAATCAAGAAGATGCCACACGGACATGGCCACAGTCCAGTCCTATGGAGGCAATTCCCCAGTTGAGGCTCCCTCAACCCAGGTGTGTGAAGTTGACACTAAAGCTATCCAGCACATATATAAAGGGACATAGCTATACTGAAGGACTAATTAGGCTAGGAAAAACACAAGATTTAAAAAACAGAACGTGGAACTGGAGAGATGACTCAGCTACGAGCCTCTACTGCTCTTCCAGAGGACCCAAGTGTGGTTCCCAGCACCCACACCAGGCAATTCAAAACGGCCTGTAACTCCAGCTCCAGGGGCTTCACACCCTCTTCAGGCTTCCGCAGGCATCTGGACACAAGTGTATATACCCACACATAGACACAAACACATACATATAATTAAAAATAAATATTTTTTAAAAGCCAAGAGAGCAAAGAACATGTATTACAATGTGCAGATATCTAGCATATATATTATACATTATAGAATGCTATGATTAGTAGCCATATGGGGTTGTGGGAAGATCAGAAGTGTATAATGAGATTCAGGAAGGAAAGAAAATTGGTAAGGAGCAGACATTTAAAGCAGGAACTCTACAGGATGTCCTCTGATAACCCTGGTCCTATAAAAAGAAGCGGAAGCTACACAAGGCCAAAGCTGTGCTACCAACACTGTGTGTGCACAGTTTGAGCGTCCTCTCAGTGGAAACCCCATTCTTTAACTCAGAGTTCACAAACATGTTGCACACTCACCTTCAGACTATGACTGCCACGACAGCTGAGTGCTTACACTCTTCAGTTCACTCACAGGCTTAGCCAGCATGCACAAAGGCAAAGAATTCTTACATCTATCAGCTACTTATGGCATACCCGATTTCCCCTTAACCTCTTCCCTAATTCTTGTTATTAAGTACAGTGTCTACCCATGTGGCATACATAAGACTCTACCCTCAGCCAACTGTTGGCTTATTAACTCTGCCTAGCAACGGTTAAAAGTTTAAAAAATGCTATCACACATTGCCAGAAAAATACTGGGAAAAGTAATCTGAATCAGAAAACAGAAGGGGCAAATAAAGATGACTACTAGCTACCATCACAGGATTTAGCACACACTCTGGATAAAGGAGCACTGGCTGGAGAGCACACTGTCCCCAGCAGTCTGCTCCCTCAAACATGAGGCCCTGTTTACTTGCCAGAGTCATAGACCTCGGGCAATGCATGACCAGTGCTTCTTAAATGTTCAAGTTAGGAATGTTAGAAGACAAATTCATCAGTGGCTACAAGTATCCAAGAGGAAAATAATTAAATAATAGTATACACTCGTGATAGAGAACATAATGGACGTGGCTGTTCACACTAGCATCTCAGTGCTCAGAAGCCTGGGACAGAAACATTGTGAGTTTGATGCTAGCTGGGAAAGACTCTGCCTAAAGACAAGGGAGAATGGACAGACAGACAGTGACAAATTGGCTTAGAGAATGGTCATTTTTCTGGTATATGTTTCCAGAACAAACCCAGTTGTTAGTGAGTGGTGCATATGAAGTTCTTCCATGGCATCTTTCAGTTAAACACACTGCATTCAGAGTTTTTTTTTTTTAAAAAGAAACTTACAAATAAATAATAAAACACTACAATGCCTGCATGTTTAAACATGGAAATTAAGTTTTCCTTGGGTGGATTTCTGTCCTGTGCTTAGTGACTGACAATGGGGTTATGTCCAGATAAACCATGGTAGGATGGAAATATCCTACATCAAAATATATTCAACAGGGGCTGGAGAGATGGCTCAGTGGTTAAGATCACTGGCTGCTCTTGCAGAGGACCCAGGTTTGAATCCCAGCACCCACATGGTGGCTAACAATCATCCATAACTCCAGTTCCAGGGGATCCAATGTCCTCTTCTGGCCTCCACGGGCATCACGTGCATAGGCAGGCAAAATGCTGAGCATGCACGTAAAATAATTCTTTAAAAAAATACATTCAACACACTTCACCTACTGAGTATCACACTTCAGCCTAATCTACCTTACATGCCTTTAGAACACTTAAGTTGGCCATTTGTGTCTTTTTGCAAGGTACTATGGCAACTAAAAGAGAAATTCATAACCTACAAAACTTTTTAGTGTCTGTTTCTTTACAGAAAGTTTACTGACGACCAAGATATGAAAAGAAGTAAACTGTCATCAGCAGATGAAGAGATAAGGAAAATGTAGCCCATGGACATGGTAGACTATGGTTCAGCCTAGGAAAAGGAAGTGCTATCATTTAGAACATGGATGGATGGATATAGAGGGGGCTGCACTAAGTGAAATCAGCCAGGCATCCATGCCACAGGACCTCACTTCCACATGCATCTAAAAGAGTCGGGGTGAATCTCAGTCAGCAGAAAGGAAAGTGTGGAGTGGAGGTCACACAAGGCCTGGGGCAGGGACAAGCAGAGGGAAGGAGGGAGAAGTTAGGCAAAGGAAAAGTCTCAGACAGAAGGAGGGAGTTTCAGTTATGTGCTGCTCAGCATGCTGCAGTTAGTAACTTCAGAATTGCTGAGCACAGGTTTTAAATGCTCTCATCAAAAAAAGTAAATATGTGTAGTAGTAAGATTACATTGAAAACATTTTCTCACTAATGGGTTAGAGAATTAGGGTTATTTCCAGTTTCCAAAAGTGCCTATCAGAAGTTTTTTTAAAATCAAAAATAATCTGTCAAAGCTGGGCATGGTGGCGCACGCCTGTAGTCTCAGCACTTAGGAGGCAGAGGCAGCTGGATCCCTGTGAGTTCAAGGCCAGCCTGGTCTACATAGTGAGTTCCAGTCCAGCTGGGGCTACAGGGAGACCCTGTCTCAAAAAGACCAAAAAAAAATCTGTCATATGTTCACAGAAAATTTTAATTATGGTGGGGTGTGGTGGTGCATGCCTTTAATCCCAGCACCTGGGAGGCAGAGGCAGCTGGATCGCTGTGAGTTCAAGGCCAGCCTGGTCTACATAGTGAGTTCCAGACCAGCTGGGGCTACAGGGAGACCCTGTCTCAAAAAGACAAAACAACAACAACAACAACAACAACAACAACAAAACTAATCACAAATGCTCACAGCAGGATTATCCACGGTATGGTTACAGCAGCACAAACCCAACCAAAATAATATATGATAGAAGAGGGCTCCAACCTAAATGTGCACAGTCAAGCATATGCATGCAATGGAATATTATTCAGCCCTGTAGAAAAAATGAAGGGTTGAAATATGCTGCAATATGAATGAAATCTGAAAACATCATGCAGGCACTGAAGGTTGCACACCTGTCTATGTTTACATGCTATGTCCAGAATGGGCATATTCATTGAGAAAGTAGATCACTAATGGTGTTGGGATATTAAAGGGTGGCTGGAATTCTTAGTTTTTATGATGAAAAATCTCTAAAGTTGATTATAGTGATGACTGTACAAATCTATGAATACTTTTAAACCACTGAGTTACAGTCTTTAAGTGAATAATTGTATGGCAAGAAAATTATCAATATAGTATTGTTTTTGAGACAGGGTCTCCCTATAGTTCCAGCTGGCCTGGAACTCAATATATAGACCAGGCTGGCCTTAATCCCACAGAGCTCTGCCTGCCTCTCCCTCCAGAGTGTTGGCATTAAAGGTATGTGCCACCACAACCAGCAATATGGGTTTTTAAAAAGGAAATTCCACTGCTCTGGCTCCATTCCATAGACAGATATGCTTACATGGGAGAAATATTACATCCCATTCAGAATACCTAATAAACTATTGTTTGTAATATCAAAAGAGTGAACCCCAAATGTCTGTCAACAGCAGATTCACTAAATTTGGTATATCCCTACAACGGAACATCATATAGTCCTTAAAATGAACAAGGTAACTATATGCCCAGATACAATCTCAGAGATAGAAGTGGAAAAAAGGTGAGGAAAAACAGTCATAGTGTAGAGGAAGAATGGTCCAGAGACACCTGTGTCCTAGTCCCTAGAATCTGCTAATATGTTACATAGCAAAGAAGGAAATAAGGCCACAAATGGCCTTGAGGTTATCTCAGCATCTCTATTGGATTTTTCTTTTTCAGATTCCACATATGAAGTCACACAATTTTTCCAAATGGAATTAAGGTTGGTAATCAGATGACTTTGGGATTGGGGCGTTACTCTGAACTATTCAAGTGTACAAATTTAATCATAAGGTCCTTATAAGTCTAGAGGGAGGCAGGGTTACAGTTAAGGTGACTGAGTGAAAAGGGCTCAGTCAGGCACAGGGGCACAGTCTCTAGAGGCCAGAAGGGGTAGAGCACTGTTACCCTCGCCTGCAGAGAAAATAGTCTGGGGACACTCTGATTTAGATGAGATCCGGCTCAGACTTCAGTCACCTAGTTGGCAGAGTTAGAAACGAGGTAACTGTAGAAAACGGGCTCCTGAAGGTCAGAACGCCTCCTTGTGGTTAAGCATCCTTGAAACTGCAGTTTGTTCTTCCTGCTATATCAGAAACTAAAGTGCCAAGGCATTCTCCACACGTGTGCACTGTGTAACCTCCAAAGACCTGCTGTTGTTATAGTGTGTGTATGTGTGTGTGCAGGTGTCATGTGGAGAGAACCAGGCCTGAGGGTAGGGAGGGAACTTTTCAGTATAGATAGATCTTACTGTACATTTTGAACTTTATATTAAGAATATATTTTATATATTTTATTTTTGTATAATAAAACCATTTATTTTACATTGACCTCTTGTGATATAGGAATATTATTGAAAATGCAAGATTAAAAAAACCCTTTCACTGTATTTTCTTCAAAGTCAAGGTAGTACAATACCAAACGTTACTAGAGAATCCGAGTTGGCATGTTGAGGGCCTTTCCTTTGCCGACACTTGTGTTTACAACCAGGAATACCAGTAAACTGAGAAAGGACCGAGCGCGGTGCCGGCTTGGGACCAGGGCTGGGGACTCCAGGCCGGGACCATGAGTCGGGCTGATGACTTCGCATCCCCCCAGCACCCGCCTACCCCAAGGACGCTTACCCGGGCTCCCAGCGCCCGCTGCCATGGTGACGGACACCCTGTCTACGCAGGCGCGGTGCAGCTGGCATACGCGGTCTTGTCTCGGGTGGCGGAAACGGGCTCCGCCAGCAACCGGGAACCGGAAGGGGCGCGGGTGCTACCGGGACGGAGCCGCGGGCGTGGGTACCTCAATCCCTGGAGTTGGCAGATTCTTGTAGTTGCAGTAACGCCAACAGCAGCTCAAGGGCTGCCCTGACCCCTGTCCTTTCCACTTCCTTGTCCCAAACTCCAGATTTCCTGAAGCCGAGGGGCCAGCGCCTTCGGAGCCAGGCTAGAGAGCTGGCAGCACGGCATGCTGCTTTCCCTGCAGGGCCAGCAGGACCAAGCTGCCAGCCGAACACAACCAGACACTGCGCAAACCTAGCAGTCCTCTCCAGGCCTTCAGAAGTTCCTGTTTTTAGGTCGATGTAGTTTTTAGCGTCAATCGGCTTCCGTCGTCTCTAGATTTCCTCTAGCCAGCCAGAAAAATTTTGTCTCCACAAACACTAATTCATCACTTTAGTTTCCTATTTTCTCCAGGTATCTTCACACCTAAATTTACTTCTTTACGAAACACACTAATCTAACATATGTCCATCCAAAACACAGCTCTCACCTAAAAAGTGTTTATTGCCGAACCAAACGAGTGACCATGGGCAAGAACACAAATTCTGGTTGCCCACATATGTTCCAACGTGGAAAAAACTTTCATGACAATTGTAGTGTTGCAGAAAAGAAAGTAGTAAGTCAAAGAATTCCCCAAATATATTGGTGGATACATCAGAGCTTACAGCAAAGTGGGGAAATCTGCTGAGGGTCTCAGATGCTATCTGCTCCTCTTAGCTTTGGGTTGGTGGAAGCCAGTGTTCTGTCAAGTTAACACATTTCAGAAAGTTTCACCTGATAGTCACATGGATGGTTATGCTCAACAGAAGTGAATACAATGAATGGCAATTAAAGGGACGAAAAAAATAGCCCAAGATAATTTGGCTGTGGATCTGCAACATTCCAACTCTCCACAGTCATGCAGTTCTAATCAATCAGACTTGTAGAATTAACAGCTGTGGCTTTTTTCTGGGAACTTCAGTCCACATATTACATGAGTCATTTCATTTATTCTTTGTTGTTAGACTCTAATCTCTTTATGTACCTTATTCTTTACTGTGTTAATAGATGCTATGCTTGAAGTTTTTTGAGACCTAAAATGGACAAGATTTACATTTTACTTTTCCTGGTACCAGCATCCTTTCCTGGAGGCATCTCTAATGTGGGAACACCTTAAGGCACATGTAGTGTTTAGCTAACCCCAAACTTTGCTATTGTTCAGTATCAGTTGCAGCAAAGAACAAATTACCACAAAACAAACCTAAGTGTAAAGCAGACATTTGGGATTATCTTCTGAGGGTCAGGAATCAGGGTGGCCTCAGCATCTGGTTTCTTGAAGCCATGTCCAAGCTGCTGGCTGAGGCCGCAATTTGAAGGCAGGGCTGGGCTTGAATCCACTTTCCACTTATGTTGCTGTGGGCAGGAAACTTCAGTTCCTCATTAAATAGGTTTGTCTGTGAAGATGCCAAAGCCAGAAAGTGGTCCCCCATCCCCACCCCCGAGGGAGTTCCAGGAGAGAAAGGCAAGAGAGACAGAGAAGTGACTGCGGGAGGGGAGACCCAACAAAGGAGCCAGCATCTTTCACAATGCTATACCACCGTATTAGTCACATGAATAAGCAGGACCCACGTGAGGGAGGGAACCAGGCAATGGGAATCACTGGAGGTAATCTGGGGGGCTTCACAGATTTCTTTCAAAAGGATCTTTATTATAGCACTGGACTTTATACTTATTCTTCGGTAATAAGCATGAGACTATAGTTGAATTTTGTCACCATAGATACAAAAATGTAATTTCCTCAAAGATAGTAAGATTAATTGCATACCATTAAACACTAAATCCCCAAATGGAATATTAATAAAATTTTAAACTATCAAAAATCTTGGGGGAAAGGGAAGGGAGAGTAGTGGGGTGGATATTATCAAAGTACTGTACATCATATATGAAATGTCACAGTGAAACCCATTATTTTGTTGTGTCTGGCCATACACACCTAGTAATTCCAGTATTCGGGAGGTAGAGGCCAGGGCAGGAGGGTAGGAAGATCCTGAGTTGGAGGCCAGTTTAGGTTACACATCAAGACCTTCTCTCTTCTTTTTAAAATACCATCTTAAAAACAAGCCAACTGGGGCTGGAGAGATAGGTCAGTGGTTAAGAGCCCTGGCTACTCTTGCAGAGGACCTGGGTTCAGTTCCCAGCACCCACATGGTGGCTAACAACCATCCATAACTCCACTTCCAGGGCTCTGAGACCTTCTTCTGACCTCCGAAGGCATTGCACAACACAGGTGTACTTGCATACAGGCAATACACTCACACACATAAAATAAAAATAATAAAATATTTAAAAAAAACAAGCCAACTATTATTTTGTGCAACTAATATACACTAATAAAAACTATTAAAAATATGATGTGAAAATACTAATGTGGTAGCAAAAGATAAATTTAGATCTTAAGGTCCAGATAATTTAGGTTTAGGGCCCAGCAGAAAAAATTCAAATAAAATTCAAATAAATATAACCATGCAGTTATATTAGCAATGAAAATTGCTATGATAAAAGTATTCCTACTTAATATATGCCACAATGCTAATGGAATTTTTTTTGTTCCTTTCTGCAATTAAGATGCCTTTACCAATCACTAAGTAAAAGTGTTTTGACAGAAGCAATGAAATCTTAAAGATCCTAAATATAAATTACATAAACCAAAGTAATATATACAGTATGTGCTTAACATGCTACACTTTATAAAAGAAATACCATATGGAAAAGTGTGTGGAGGAGGCCCGAAAACTACTATATGACTCAATATGTCTATTATATACATCAATAATTCATACGTGGTATGTATGTAAAGGAAATTACTATCAAGGAGGTATCTGTACCTTGTGTTCACTGTAGCATCATTCATAAGAGCAAGGTGTGAAATCAACCTAACACCCACCAGTAGATGAATAAAGAAAATGAAGCCTACGTACATAATGAAATTTGGGGTTAATAAAGGCAATCCCTGTCATCTGTAACAAGGATGAAGTTGGCAGATGTTAAGATGTGCACAGGAAGGCAAATGTTGTACAATTTCACTTACATGTGGGACCTAAGAATGTTGAACTCCCAGAAGCAAAGCACAGATGTGGTCAAGAGTCATTTCTCTATTGCAGCAATCAAAACCATGGCTCAATGGTTAACAGCAGCTGCTCTTCCCAGGATCTGGGTTTGGTTCCCAGCATCCACATAGCAGCTAATGACTGTTCACAATTCCAGTTCCAGGGGTTCCGACACCCTCTTCTGGTCTCCACCAGCACTGCACGACACAGTGCACTTACATGCAGGCAATACACTTATACACATAAAATCAATATAAATAAAAATTTAACTGTATTCATTATCTGTTTCATAATGCAGTTCCAAGAAAGAAAAATTTTATTTTCCAACAGATGAAACCTGGTTTTACATATAGCATACACATAGACACATACAATTTGTTCCACAGATAAAGAAAACAATTGGGCTATATTTCACTTCTCATTTCAAAACTCAGAGAAACTGAGTTGCATTAAAAGTCACAAGACCACACAGATTCTTACAAATGGATTACAAGGAGCCATCTGATTTCTTAAAAAAGCTTAATCTTAAAAAACTACAATTTCCAGGTATGTGTCAAATGAAGAGTATGACCACATATATGGCAAATGTATTCAGAAAATTCCATCTCCAACAAATGCTTTGAAATATGCCTCCAAACTCTAAGCAGAATTCTGATTTTTGTCAAGTGTAGATACTTTACAAAAACAAATTCAATGTTACTTATCATGGAAGAGTCAGCAACTGCTTGCTAAGTTCAATATTCATAAATTGTACAATTATACTACAAAATAAGCATATAATATACTGAGAAATAGACACATTAAAACATAAATTGAGCCCGACATACAATTTTTGTATCATTTCAAAAAATTTCATGAGTTATATGTTGCCATTTTATTTATATCTGTCACATTTCACATTGTTTAGAAAGTAGCTATTTCCAGAAGAATGATATTCTCCAAATACATCTTTGGCTAGTACTACAAATATGATTCAGCAGGGACCACAATGCCCAGACACATTACAATTTTTGGTCTCTCCTATAAGACCTTAGATCCTGAGTTATGGACTTGGTTTGATCTTTAAGTTGAGATGCTTTATAAATATTTTTCTTAAAACAGGGTTATTTAGTGTGGTTTCTTTTTCTTGATATATACAGTGAGTGTTTTGATACAAAAAATATATTCCCCATAATAAAAAGGCATTAAAATAATGATTAGACTTTATAGAATAAATGACACTTTTTTCTTTTTTTTTTCCTGTTTGAATTAAACAAGAAAGCTCTGTAACAGCTTTTAACTTATGTTAAATATCCCATTATAAAAAATAACTACCATATCAAGAATTTAAAATATGCGAAAGTAACAACTTTGTTAAAATTTATACTTCATACATTGATGTCAATGAAAATATGTAGAGTTGTAAAGAAATATTTAAGAATTAACATGGAAGTAAAAAAATAAAGCTGTTCCAGGCTTCAGTTATTGCTACATAATGACTACTCAAGGGTCATCTGGCCTGTCGTCAGTATTAGAAGTGTTAAATACTTTGTAAGGAAGGAGGAAAGATAATGTACTGTATACAAAAATATTAACTACTTGTAAATTAGGAAAGATTTATAAAACACATTCCAAATCATATGTTGCTATGAAAACAATAAACTTAAACAGAAGCACAAAGCCCCAAAGCACCCACAATTATTTTAAGAGTACCCATTTAATCAGAAAAATATCTGTATAATAACGAGAAGAAAAAAGGACAAAATTCTAATTTTAATCAAGCAGAGTTTATCTAATCATGGAGGTAGGTCTCCATTCCATTTATACAAATAAATTATAGGCTTTATTCAAAGAATTATAAGTCAAGATCTCAAAACTGGTCTGTGCTACTGAAATACATCTTAACAGACTTTAGAAACCAGTATTCTAACTGGCATATACACAAAACCAATATTTCCTTCATTAAAATCATTCTTGACATAAAGAGGTATAACTAAGTGCAAATACTTTGGTGTAACATTTACATAACACAGTAAATACTATAAATTTTAAGTTTTAAGAAATCTTTGTCTTTTTAGTTCTTATAGTAAGTATAAAGCTTTAAAAATGATGGATCCCTTACATTTTTAGATATTTAAATATTGTGCTAATGATTCTGAAAGATCATTCCTGCCTTAAAAGTAAAGTTATAGATTTCAATCATCAAACATTTAGTGTTTGTGGCATTTCAGCTTTAGTGCTGGGATTCATTTTAACAGGTCAGTTTACAACACAGAATATGGCACATCCTTTCACTAAAAAAGGTTTTCTATAATAAAAAACGCTAATTCTATTTCTAGTGGCAAACTTGAATTAGAAGTCCCACCGTGGATCACAGGTATCAGGGCACTATCGAGATCATTTAGGTAATGCTGGGGCAGAAGCTGGCCTTCACAGCCTGCCTGAAATTCAACCTGGAAAAAAGAAATCTTGGTAAGATAACTCTAGAAAGTTAGCAGTCTTTAGCTCAGCAGATAAATATTTACAATGTTTTTTAATATTCAGCTTAAGCATGTTAATAAAAATACTCACTATATTATTTTAAAAAACCATTCTAGCACAGGGTGTGGTGGTGCATGCCTTTAATCCCAGCACTTGAGAGGCAGAGGCAGGAGGATCTTCATGATACGAGGTCAGCCTGGTCTACATAGCGAGTTCCAGGCCATCTGGATGCTGTACATCCCCAGAGGTATTGTACATGGTGTACCAACCTACATGCAATACACACATACACGTAAAAATAATAATTTAAAAAATCTATATTCTCACATTTCTTTTATCTACTTACTACATGAATTATAATTGTCCCTCCCACATATATAATAAATAGTATTTGATACTTTAGATTTCCTTTCACTGAATATATAAATAACTAGAGGTCTGAGGTGTTGAATAATTACCAGTATTATATTTTTAAAATTAAAAAAAAAAAATTTGTGTGTTGTGAGACAAGGTCTCCCTGTGGCCCCAGCTGGCCTGGAACTCGCTATGTAGACCAGCCTGGCCTCAATCTCACAGAAATCTGTCTGCCTCTGCCTCCAGGGTGCTCCATCACACCCAGCTATTGCCTAAGTTTTTAAAATATTTTTTTATTTATTATTTTATTTTTATGTGTGTGAGTATATTGCCCTCATGTGTGTAAGTGCACCCGTGTCGTGCAGTGCCCACGGAGGTCAGAAGAAGGCGTCGGATCCCCTGGAATTAGATAGTCAGTGTTCTTAACCGCTTAGCCATCTCTCCAGCCCATTGCTTAAGTTTTTTAAAAGAACTGGAAAATTTACTAAAAGTACTTCAAGTTGTTGCAAACCTACGTTGAGTCTGTGTGTGTGTATGCACATGCATGTGCAGTTGCACTCACCTGTATATGCACAGATGGAGGCCAGAGGTTAACATACTCTCTGGCACTCCATCATATTTTTTTAAACAGACCTCTTGATTAATCTAGAGCTCACTATTTCAGCTAGACTGCCTGCTCTGCAAGCCATGGAGATCAGCCTGTTTCTGATCCCAAAGAGCTGTGGTTACAGCACGTCATCACACCCAGCTTTTATGTAGTTGCTGGGAGTCTGGACGCAGTGAGAATTTTACCTACTGAGACACCTCCCAAGCCATGCAATACTATTTAATGTTATGACTTAATATTCCTGGTGAAATTTATATTTTAATACATTTATAACTCTAAAATAAAAGTTTTTATTCAACCAATAATTATCAGGAGCTTCCTTGAAATGGGGTTTTCCAATAAAGAAATGAAAGCAAAGTTGCTTTCTGCCAGTGAGAAGTATGAGCATGACACGTCTTGCTGGAAAAGTAAACCAGCATATGAAGCCATATTTAGCAAACTAGACTCTGAGGGCTGGAGAGATGGCTCAGTGATTAGGAGCACTGACTGCTCTTGCAGTGAACCTGGGTTCAATTCCCAGTACCCACATGGTGGCTAACAACCATCTGTAACTCCTGTTCCAGGGGATCTGATGCCGTCTTCTGACCTTCAAGGGCACTGCATGACACAAGTGCATCTTCCTACATGCAAGCAATACACCCATACGTATTAAATACAAATAAATAAAATATTTTTTACAAAGAAAACTAGACTCTAACAAAGATTGTTTTGAAACTTTCTACTGGATGCTGGCAACAATTACAAAACAAATATACCTAACAGATATGAACTGAAAGTTCAGAAAAAAAATGGCTCTTACATGTAAAAAAATCACCATTTACTGTTTGGAGAAATGCATATTAAGATAATAATGAGTATCATTTTCACCTATCAAAGTTCAAAAGTTCACTTGGGCTGGAAATAGTGTTGTGGCAGAACATTTGCCTAGCATGCACAAGGCCCTGGGTTTAATCCCCAGCTTCAGCAAAAAGCTTGATTATATACTGTTTTCATAAAGATGCAGAATAAAGAACTGTCTCAGAAAATGCTGGCCGAAGCCAGGTGTGGGAGCACAAGCCTAAGATCCCAGGAACTCAGGAGGCCAAGGTAAGAAGATCGCAAATTCAAGGTCTGCCTGGGCTACAGAGTGAGTTCAATTTTAGTCTGGGTAACTTAGTAAGACCCTATTTTGAAATAAAAATAAAGAGCTAGAGAGATAGCTTTGTGATGGAGCACCTGCCTTGCATGTGGGAGACTGTGAGTTCACTCTTTCAGTACTACACACACACAAATTGCTGGAATAAATATAAATTGGTACGTCCTCTATTTAGAAAAATATGGTGGTAGCTACTGTCATATTCTATCAGATCATTCTACATCTAGGACTTTTTTTTTTTATGACTGTACTCATTTAGGCGAAAGCAAAATATTGTCAACAATGAAAATTTCAAATAACATGTACCTATACTGAATAAGATCTAATTAAAAACTGTTATCCATTTATTTAATAAAATACTATTAAAAAGACTGTGCACTAAAATGTAGTAGCTCTAATATATATTAACGAAGAAGGGAGATGAACATTTTATAATACATAGATGCTAGTACATGCATAAAGATCACCCAAAAGAATGTACAAGAAATGAGTACTACTAATTGCTTGAACAAGGAGAGAGGATTATGGAGAGTCTGGAGGTGAAGTACCGGTTTGGAAGTTAGAAGGGAGAATTTTCCAGTGCTACAGTCTTACATAGCTCTACTGAGAGCCATTAGCATTACAGTTTAGAGTTAATATCTCCAAGGCCCACCAATTCCATAGAGCACAGCAGGAGTGTTGCTCTTTAGAAATGTTTATTGAGATGATCCTTCTATATTATATATTTTTTAGATATGTAAAATTTTGAATCCTGTAAACCTAGTCAGAATACATTTAAAAGCCCATCTACAACCCAGAATAGTTATGGATCAGCAAACTATGGACCATAGGCCAAGTCTGGCCCTGTTGGGTAAAAGAAATTTTACTGGATCATAGCCACACACACTTAGTTACACATTATCAGAGCTGCTTCCCATAGCAGAGGTGAGCTGTGGGAGAAACCCTTCAGCTGACAATGCCCCAAATACTTAATACTGGGCTTTTACAAAAATAGCTGACTTGGTTGCAGAGATTAATAAAGGTAATTTATGCAAAGTGTGTGGTACACAACTGATGTTCAGCAGGCTCAGGGCTAGAAGAATAGCTCTGTGGTAGAGTACTGTCTAGCAATAAGACCTTGGGTTCCATCACCAGCACCACAACAAACAAACAAACAAACACATAAACAATGCTCCCTTTTCTCAAAAGGTTAGAGAAAAATCTTTTCATTATTTTCAGATAAATTCTATCAATTTTGGGGCTGGCAAGATGGCTCAGCCAGTAAAGGTAGTTTTGGACAAGCCTGAGTTTGATCTCTAGAGCCCACATAGTAGAAGGGGAGAGATGATTCCCACGAGTTGTCTTACATGTACACCCTGGCATGCACACTCCTACACACACACACACACACACACACACACACACACACCTGGCATGCACATTCCTACACACACACACACACACACACAATGTGTTATATAGATAGATACACAATAGAAATGTCAAAACTACATCACAAAAATATGTCTTACCATATCTGTGTCAATGGACACTCTGAGTCCAATTTTATTCATTCTATTACTCTTTAGAGTTTTCAGGTGAGGGCACAGGGCAGCACTACAGGCCATAGCTATTTCTTTTGCAAATTGATAACCAGTCGATAAAATAGATAGATCTTGGTCCTTTAGAAAGTAGAAGACCTGAAACACATTTAAATTAGGAAATAAAATTAAGATTAGAAGCAACTTTAAAAAGGTAATAATTGTTGCTTCCAATCCAACTTTAGTAAAATTCCAACCTTAGTTCTATGAAAATCAACAGTAGGAAGCATTCTGTATCTATAGCCTGAATCTATATAATAAAATTTAAAACCAAAGATCACAAATTACAGAGGTGGCTCAGCTATTTTTGCCTAACATTGATTTGCATCAAAGACATATTTGTTAACTCAGTATAGAATCTGTATTATAGAGACATCTATATAAAATTAGATCAAAGAAATAAAATTCTGCAGTTTCTGCGTTCTCTACAGTTTCTATGCATTTTACAGAGGCATGAAATCATGAAGTCTAGGTAAGAAATGGCACTGACTCCTGAACAGGAGGAGAGGGTACGGGACACTAACATACTACAAGTTTGCAGTTCCATATTTTAAAAGAGCAGAACATGCAAAATTAACTTTCACATATGAATCATGATTGTAAGTGCATGTCAACAAAATATTTTATAGTAAAATGAAAGTAATATAGTAAAATAACTTTATATTACAAAGATGGCAATTTGCCAAAGCGTAACTATTAGCTGGCAGAAGTACTATCAAAATGAGAGCCTAAAATAAGCATTGCACATCCCAGTCTAGTATGTGAGAGATAGTCTTTGGTGGGAATATATCTTAAACTGGAAAGTGAAAGGTATAATAAGTTATATTTAAATATTTATGAGTATACACTATTTCTAAATCAGAAAAAGGGAAAGACTATTGAAACACAGTATAGAAAGAGAAAACAGCTTTCTCCATACCTCAGTACATTTTATAATCTTCTCATCCGTTTCAAAATCTGCTTCAAGTTTTATTTTTTCACTTGGAAAGCCTTCTAATGATATTCCATCTACTGAACTAATAACACTACATAGTAAAATAAAACACAATACAATTACTATCATTGTGTTTTCTGCAAAATTATTACATTTGGAAAATGAGATGAGAAAAATGGAAGTTCCATATTTAAAGCAACACCACATATCTCAATTGTACATAAAATCAGTACTTCATTTATGATTTCTTGATTGTATAGTTATCTTTTTGTACAACAAATTATATTTCTTTCTCATATGCCCAATTCAGACCTAGGTTTAAAATACTTAAGTTTCAAGCCGGGCATGGTGGCGCACGCCTGTAGTCCCAGCATTTGGGAGGCAGAGGCAGGCAGATCTCTGTGAGTTCAAGGCCAGCCTGGTCTACATAGTGAGTTCCAGGACAAAAAAAAAAAAAAAACCCAAACCAAACCAACTTTAGTTTCTTTCTTTGTTGATACAGCCCAGTTGAGGACATGGGAATCAATCCTAGGGCTTTATGTATGCCAAGCAGGCATCTGTCAAATGAGCTACATTTGCTCTCTCCCCAAAATAAGAGTTTTTTAAATTCATGAGACACTTTTCTTTTAAGATGCCAGGTGTGGTGCACCTTTAATCCCAGTACTTGGGAAGTACGCAGGCTGAGCTCTGTGGGCTTGAGGCCAGCCAGGTCTACCCAGCAAGCTCCAGGCCAGCTGGGGTCACAGGGAGACCCTGTCCCCAAAAGAACAAAAAACACAAAAAAACAAAGACCAAAGAATTTGCCAACATGGGTCAACTTTGGTAGAATGAAGGTTTCTAATGGGTATTTTAGTATCAGCCCCTCCCCAAGCTGACCATTACAGTTCCTGCCCAAGAAAACTTAGGAGTTTGATTGGTTACATATTTGAAAAACAGCACCGTATTAATTGGAATAGAGCATTTAAATTAATGGAATAATTCTATATCTATTCATACATATCATTATATCAAGAGGAAGTTGTTATCCCTCCCCCTCCATGAAATCAATAACATTTAGTAATAAAAAAATTCCTACCCTTTATTTCTCTTTTCTTCAGAATCTACCCAACAGATGTCCACATACTCTCTGAGATCTACAGCATCAACTTTCCCACAAGTAATTTTAAAGTCCTTTTGTTCTCGTAGAGCTAGCCGTAGGCCATCCATGGTCTCTGGAGTTATTTGTACCATTAAGCCATCTAGAAATTAGAATTATGTTTCATATTTACTTTGCCAAATTGCAATACATATGTCAGGCCATAAAATTTATTATTAAGGTATGTTTGGTGCAAGATACACGTTTTAAATCCTTTGTTAATCATTCAATTGGTTATCTTCCACTAGGAAAATAAAACTAGGATTTTTAAGGTTATACAAATAAAGACAGGAAGTTATGTTTCTTACCAACAGCACAACAGAAATACTATATACCATCTTCAAGATTATCTTAGGGATGCAAAGATGATTTGACATATGCAAATCAATAAAAATATACCACATCAACTGAAGGAGAAAAAACACATAATTATCTTAATAGATGTAGAAAAAGCATTGGGTAAAAGCCAACATCCCTTCATAATAAAACCCTTAATAAATTAGATTTAGAAGGAACATACCTTAAAACAATGCAGTATATGAGAAACCCACAGCTAACATCACAATGAATAGAGAAAAGCTGAAACTGTTTCCTTTAAGATCAGGATCAAGACAAGGATGTCAATTTTCACCACTCTGAACGTAGTGCTAAAAGTTTTAGGTAGAGCACTAAGTCAGGAGAAAGGGCATCCAAAGAGGAAAGAAGGAAGCCAAATGATCCTCGTTTGCAAATTACATAGGTTTATATGTAGAGAAACTTCTACCAAAAAAACTGTTAAAACTGATTAATGAATTCAAAAAGATTGCAGAATACAAAACCAATTCACAAAAATCAGTGACATTTTTTATATACAAAGAACAAGCCTGATGACAAATCAAAAAAGTAATCCCTTTTGCAAAAGAAACGACAATAAAAAGGAATACAATTGTAAAACACTGATGAAAGAAATTGAAAAAGACAGAAAAATGGATATTCATATTCATGGATTAGAAGGATAAATATGGTTAAAACGTTCATACTATCTGAAGCAATTATAAATTGAATGCAATCTCCATCTAAATACCAATGGCATTCTTCACAAAGACAGAAAAAAAAATTCTAAGACTCACATGAAACCATGAATAGCCAAAACTTGAGAAAAAAAGGGAAAAAAAAAGCTGGAGGTAGCATAACACCTGGCCTCCCAACATACTACAATGCTACAATAATGGCAGCAGCACGGTATGAGCACAACAAACAACATATAAACCAACAGAGCAGAACAGAGAGTCCAGAAGTAAACCACCAATTTAAAGGCAAACTTCAACAAAGGTGCCAAAAACATTAACTAGAGAAGAGAGTCTTGTCACTAAATGGTGCTGTAAAATGATTAGCCCTATGCAAAAGAAGGAAAACTAGATCCCTATCTTTTGCCATGTACAAAATCTAACTAAAATGGATCAAAGGCCTAATGTTAAGACCTGAAACTATGAACCTACTGGAGGAAAACATAGGGAAAATTACTTAAAACTTCTACATAGTTAATGACTGTTTTAAAAACAAAACAAAGCACAACTGGGAGCCACAGCTCATGCCTGCAATCCTAGCACTCAGCAGGCTTAGAGAGCAGTATCTGGGCTACAGAGACTTTGTCTCAAAACAAAAACAAAAACAAGGGGCTGGAGAGATGGCTCAGTAGTTAAGAGCACTGGCTGCTCTTGCAGAGGACCCGGGTTCAATGCCTAGCACCTCCATGCTAATAACCTTCCATAACTCCAGTTCCAGGGGATGATGCCTTTTTCTAGCCTCCAATGGCATTGCACTCACACACATAAAATAAAAATGTTTTTTTTTTTTAAAATCACATTAAAAACAAAAATAAAACAAAAAGAACCAAAGGCATAGAAAACAAAAGGAAAAATAAATGTATGGCAAAGACTCTCCTGAATAACAAAGGAAAGAATGAGGGCCACACAGAGGGAAGAGGAGCAAAACAAGAAAATATTTGCAGACTACCCAACAGGAGGCTAACTGGAACTGAAAAAAAATCTCAAGAACTTGAGACTGAGTTTGACAGTAAAAACAACAAAACAATCAAACAAGATCTGTCTACTGCCCAGAGTGGTGGCACTAGTCACAGTCCTCAGGAGGCAGATGCAGGAGGATCACAGTTTGAGGTTAGCCTGGACTAGTCCAAGACTGTGCCTCAAAAAAATAAAAAATAAAAAATAATTGATTAATAAATGCATAAATGATTTGAAGGCACTGCTCAAAACAAATACATGAAAATATTCACCATTACTAATCATCAGTGAGATACAAATCAAAACCACTCTATTTTCTGATTCCAGTCAGAACATCTATAATCAAAAGACAAAAAATAAAATAAAATAAAACAAATACTCTTAAGAATGTAGAGAAAAGGGAATTTATCCATTTGTCTGTTTTGTGGTACTGGGAACCGAACCAGGGCCTCGGTGCATGTTAAACATACACTCTAGCACTGAGCTATGTCCCAGCCAGAGAAAGGGAAACTCTTAAACACTGTCAACAGAAATGGAACTTAGTACAGTCATTATGGAAAAAAACAGCATGGAAGCTTCTAAAAAAACTAAAAATAGGACTACCTTATGATCCAACTATTCAATTACTGGGTATACACACCATCCATGAAATTAAATAATTAAATCAAAGACATAAGCTGGACATGGTGGTCTACATCTGTGATCCCAGCAATCAGGAGACAGAGGCAGGAGGACTGAGAATCTGATCTCAGCCTGGGCTCCATGGTGAGTCCCAAGCCAGCCTAAGACAGCAAGAGCCTGTCTGACTGCCTCTAATGTTACCCACCAAAAAAAAGCAGTAATAAAAACAAATAAAACAGAAGGATACCTGAACATCCATCGTTATTATAACACTATTTTATAATAGCCAGTATATTAAATCAACTGAGGTATATATCAACAGAGAAATGGATTAAAAGACGTGCATAAATACATAATGGAATATTATTTATCCAGAATAAAAACTGAAATCTGTCAATTATAGCAACATGGATGAAGTAGAGGACAGATATTAAGTGTATAACCACAGAAAAACAAACCACTTGATTTTCATCATATGTGGGAGGTGCTGTAGTAAAAGAGTTCCTTTCGTACAAGAGAATAGTGATTCCTAAAGGCTAGGAAGGGTAGAAAGTAGGGGGAGGCTAAAGAGGTTGGATGATGATTACCATAATACAGTTAAATATTAATAATTAGTTAAAATGTCCCATATTCAGAAGGGCAATTATAATTCATAACAATTTATACTTCATAAAGAACTTGGAGAAAAATTTAAGTTTTCCAACATGAAATGTTAAGGGTTTAAGGATAGAGAAACGCTATTTGCCATGATTTGATCACTACACATTCTATATATGTTCCAAGGTATATACTGCCCTATATATACATATAAACAAGTATTATCTGTTATTTTAAACACTGATGGGGAATCTGTAATAGGTATTAGATAAATTACAAACCAGCTAGAAAAAAAAAGACAACCATTAGAAAAAATGGGCAAAAGTGTGGGGCATGATGAAGCATGCCTTTAATCTCAGTACCTGGGAGATAGAGGCAGGAGATCTCTGTGAGATCAAGGCCAGCCTGGCCTCCATAGCCAGTTCCAGGGCAGCTGGGGCTATAGGGAGACTCTCTCTCAAAAACCAAAACCAAAAAAAAAAAAAAGCCACCAAAAACAAAAAAATGGGCATAATTTGTGAATGAACATCTCACAGAAGAGGTCTCATGTGCTCAGTAAATATGCAATAATATGTTCTATTTATTAGTAAATAAGGAATATGCTAATAATGACCATACTCAGAAGTATCTATGAGGCTGACAAAAATCAAGTAAAGTGACCATTCCATATCTGGAGAATATGCAGACCAGTCAGAAACCTTATATATTGATGGTAGTGAAGACTGGTACAATCACTCTGGAAAACAATTGGTAGTGTCTTGCAAAACTAAACATTTACTAGTCTATATTAGGAAATTCCATATTCCTACACATATATTAGCACAACTGTTATAATAAAACAACAACCCAGAAGCTCATGATCAGATAAACAAATTGTCACATATTCACAAAACATTTAACAGCACTAAAAATGAACGAGGCAACAATAAAGTTTAGACACATAAATAATGTGCACTATGTGAACAATATCATGTTTACAAATCTTAATATGTATAATCAGCATATCCTGCAAAAATAGTATGTACAGAACTCTAAAAAATTAAGAAAATGATACATACAGTATTCAGTCTAGACTTTTTGCGGGGAGAAGAAAGGAGGATACGTAGATCCCGTACTGGTAATGTGTTTCATGGGTGGGTGGTGATTTCATGTAAGGTTATGGTACTGCTCTTTATAACTTGCATAGAGTCCTTTGTGAGCATCAAATAATATTTCTTTTTTAAAAATACCCAATACTAGAACTTTAATTTTTAAAATTTTAATTCTATGTGTATGAGTATATTGCTTTCATAGATATAAGTGTATCACATACATGCATTGCCTATGGAGGTCAGAAAGGGCATCAGATCCCCTGTAACTAGAGTTAGAGACAGTTGTCAGCCACCATATGGGTGCTAGGAATCAAACTCAGGTTCTCTGCAAGAGCAGCCAGTGCTCTTAACTGCTGAGCCATCTCTTTGGCCCCAAATATTTCATTTTTAAAATATTTATTATTTTTATTTTATGTGTATGCGTGTATTGCCTGCATGTAGGTAAGTGCACCCGTGTCGTGCGATGCCAGTTCCCCTGGAACTGGAGTTACAGACAGTTGTTAGATGCCATGTGAGTTTTGGGATTCAAACCCAGGTCTTCTGCAAGGACAACCAGTGTTATTAACTGCTGAGCCATCTCTCCAGCCCCCAAATAATATTTCTTAAAAGTTGTTGGAGACCTCTGTTATGCAAAGTAGAAGTCCCTTCACGACCGGACAGCTCATGCAGCTCGGGATCATGTGCTGAGGGCTCCTTTCATAGCAGGGTGCCTCCCTGCCACCTTTCCTGACTCTCCTTTTGAAGTGCCCGCCACACATGCTCTAAACATAAACATGGCCTTTGGCTCTGAAAGATACCATGCCTTCCTGTGATTTTTCCAGGCAGACAGCAGTCTGGCAGAAATCCACTTCCATATGTAAATAGAATGCCTCACAAAGCACCTAACAGCCAAAGCTTTTACCACTACCCCCATGGTATAAGTATCCTAGTCTTCTCTTAATAGACAGAGAGCTGGGTCGCAGAAAGCTGGGACACAGAGAGCTGGGTCTCAGAGAATAAAGCTGTAACACAGACTAAGCCGCGTCTTGAGTCCTGTGCCTTACTACCGGCGACCTAGCCTCTCCAGGGGGGCGCACTCCCTCGTTACCGACTTGCGGACATCCTAGCTTTCGCTGTCCTCGTACTCTTCCCGTGGGGTTCAGTGGCCAGTGGACCTCGCATCCTGAGGAAAAGTACACGGGTGGAAAAGGGACAGGATCCGGCTGGACAACGCTCCAGTCGCAGAGAAGCTGTCAGCACCGGAGCGGCGGACAGCGACCTATCTGCTGCCGCTCCCAGAGACGCCTGTGGCCAGAGCCGTGCCGCGACTCGCCAGGTGTGGCGGGGACCCCGAGATACCCGCGCACCCCACGCCTTAGGCCCATAGAGACACGGAGAGGGCCCCGGGGGCCGACCTGCCTTCCTCGGGACGCACGGCGGGGGAGCCTGCGGACCTGCCGTGCCATTCCGGGAGTGCGCCCAGAGAGCGCGCGCGCACCATAAAAAGTAAAGGAAAACCAATTTTACATTAAAATAATTAAAGATAAAGTCATACCTTCAACTATGCTGGACTTAGCAAGAAATCCTGAAGATGTTTTTAGAGCACCATTGAATACTACAAAGCTTGCACCTGTCACTGAAAAGAAAAATAACAATTATTTACATTTTAATGCTATATTTGTTATGCTCAAAAATGTAAAACCTGCCATTTTAAGTATTCAATAAATGTTATGTTCAGAACACATTGGAAATACAAGATTAAAATATTTCATAAAATAATTTAGTGTTTATACCTAGTGATGATAGGCTACTGTACTGTTTAAAATGCTTGTGTTTACATTAAGCAGGTGTCATGAATCAAATTCACTGCAGATGAACACGTAATTCACAAGTCTCTGTGGAGTCCCCACTTGACGATTATACATTAAAATTACATAAAAATTACAAATAAATGTAACCTTTGGAGCAGGGGAGATGGTTCAGAGGTTAAAGTGCTTGCTATGCAAGTGTGAGGCCTGGAGTTTGGATCCCCAGAATCCACATAACTGCTGGGTGGGTGTGGCAGCCTCTAAGGGCAGAGATGGAATCCCCAGAGCAAGCTGGCTAGCCACACCAGCAAGCTATGAGTTTAATAGATTCCCTGCTTCAATGAATAAGGTGACCAGCAATGAGGATGAACCCCTACATCAACCTCGGGCTTCCACATTGCCATGTACATACTTACATGTGCACCCACACACATGCAAAAATATGTATATATACCCACATGCACACCACACACACATGAAAAAGAAAAATACAACCTTTGACACACTAACTTCACTTCTAGAAACATAAAATGGCCTGTGTACAGGTTATACACAGTAATATTCTTATAAGTAGCTGAGGATTGGCAACCATTTATGATAGTAAGAGATAGTAAAATTATGGACAGTTACAAAATAGAAAGTTATGTGGAAGGGCACAGTTGTTTAACACAGAGTAATCTCAAAGAACTGTTAAAAACAACAAATGACCTGGGTATGGTGGTGCACACCTTTAATTCCAGTACTCTGAAGGCAGAAGCAGGTGGCTCTCTTGTGAGATTGAGGCCAAACTGGTCTACGTAATGAATTTCAAGTCAGGTGTGGCTACAGGGAGACTCTGTCTCCAAACAAACGAACAACCCCCCACCCCACCCCCAACCCCAGCAAAAAAACAACAAAAGCATGCTACACAATGGAACAAATGTTGTACCTTTTCTAAAAGTGAAAGATGCTACTGACTGTATGCACATGTATGTATGTGAATATATATTAAACAAAAAAGTCTCTGAAATGACATAAGAAACTGAACTCATTTGTTTCCCTGAAAGAAGATGCCTAGATGGTTTAGAGACTACTTTGTCACCACAGTATAGATACCAATATTCGGACTCTTACCACATAAATATGTGCCTATTTAACAATATTCAAAATTTCCTAAATTTTAGAGGTTTGAGGCAATGGTTCAGTCCAGTAAAGTGCTCACTGCACAGGAAAGAGGATGTGAGTTCATATTTCCAACACCCACAAGAAAAATGGGGTGTGATGGCCTGCAACTGTAAGCCCAGCACTGGGAAAGTGGAGAAGGATCCTGAGACCTTGAGTCATCCAGTCTAGCTGAACTGGTGAGTTAAAGGTTCAGTGAGAGACCTTGTCTCAAAAACGAATTGGTAGAGAGCGAAAGATGAAAACACCCTATGTCAACCTCTGACCTCTACACACACACACACACACACACACACACACACACACACACACACACATGTTCACACGTTCTTAAATTATAATGACAAAAATGTTAATTAATGGTAAGTAAAACAGCACGATGTAAAAGGATAAATATCAAGTATAAGATCATCTATTCAACATACATATTAATATAGAAAGAAATACAGTAAAATACTTTTTTTTTTTTTTAAATGAGATTCCAACGTTTAAAAAAGATCTCCACTTCGTTGTCAAAACACACAGTTTCATACAGAAAAATTCAATCCAGGGCTCTTGACATTGAGACGTTTTCACATGCATTTCTAATCTCTATATACATGACTATCACTGGTCACAGTCACCCACCTTCTGA